TCGGGGCCCGCGACCCCGGCGGCCTGGGCGGGCGCCGAGCGCCCCAAACGCTCGCTCTCCGCAGGGGAACAGAGGAGACGGCGCGCTCCATTTTGCTCTCGGTAAATTCAGAGTAGAAAAGGGACGCGGGACACCGATGTCCCTTCCGTACCCCGCGCGCTGCGTGTGCGGTCGGGTTACCGACCGGGGTGGGGGTGTTTTTAATCTGGGGCCCGGCGCCTGGCTCGCGGTTTGTCGCCCCGCCACGGGGCTGTCCTTTACCGCCCCAGTGTGGGTGCACTCCCGGAGTGCGGAGCAGGCGCCTCGCTCCCCGCGCCGGCGACCGACACCCCGAGCTCTCAGAACCCCGCCGCAAGGGAAACACGCGTGGAGCCCCGTCCCGGCCGGTAGGCTTGCGGGAAGAGTATTCCCGCTGCTTGCGCGAGGCGGGCGCGCGCGCACAGGTTATAAACGTCCGGTCACCGCACAGGGTAAAAGGCAAAGCAGTCAAAGTCGTATGAAAAGGGAACCCCGGCCGCCAGGTCCCGACACAGGTGGCACCCCAAAAGCACTTGGGTTCGCGGCCAGATACACCCACAGGCGGGGCGAGGGGCCCGCGGGAGCGGCGGGGCGCGGGGGCTGCTCCCCTCCCGGGCCTTCCCTGCTCCCCGGGGTCCCCATCTTTTTTGGGGGGGTCGTAGGCTGCTGTTCTTCTGCAGGCCTGGTCATGAGCCGGAAGCAGACCCGGGCCTGGGTAAGAATGAGCGGTGGAGAAGGCCTGGGGGTGTCGGGGGTCCCTCGCCCCCCTCCCCCTCCTCCCCGTCCCGCGCGCCGCCCTGGCCCCGGCCCCGCGCCCTCCAATCATCTGGGGGTCGGCGCCGACTCTGCGGCTGCTGGCGCCACCGTGAGGTCGACCGCGGAACTGCCCCGCGAAAGCGAGGCGGGAGGCGGGGAAAAGCCCCGCGGGCGCTGGTGGCAATGGAGGCGCTGACCCCTGGCGGGCGCGCGCGGCGCTGCAGGCGGGGAGAACGCCTCCCCACCCCAGGGCGAGCGCACCCCACGATCCTTGGCCCCCGCCGGTGAAGACGCGCGCGGGACGGAGACGGCTCGGACCCGGGAACCTCGCCGAGGCGTTCGGCACCGAATCCGCGCCCCCCCGGGCTGTTGATCACACCGGCTCCTGACCTCGGGCCGAGTGGACATCGAATCAGGAGGCTGGGTTTTTTTGGGGGTAGAGGGGGAGACCCGTGTCCCCCACGGCTGCCTCGGTGAGAGGCCTCAGATGCTGCCCCGGCCGGCCTTGAGGCAGAGAAGCCAAGTGGACAAGCGAGTGTTCTCTGCCCGCCCTCCCCGTCCGGCTGGACTCCGCCTCCAGCAGCCCGGCCTCCTCACAGCCCGGCCTCGCCAGGTGCCTGGGGGCGGCAGAGCAGAGTCCTGGCTTTCCGAAGTCACTCCGAACTGGCCCCTCGGGGCCGACGAACCCCAGGCATGGTTCGACCGCCGCCCTAGTCCCGCCCCGGAGCCGAGCTCTCGCAGGCCAGGGCCGGTGGGTCGAGGCGCGCGCGCCCTGCGCGTGGAGACGGCGCCTAGGCTTGGCCCAGTCGGTTTGGGCCAGGCCGTCCTCCGCCGGGGTCTAGCACAGCCTTCCTTGGCCCGGGACACGGTCGGGGAGCACCGCTGCTGGGTGCGCGGCCTGCGTCCGCTGCCCGTCACTGCCAAGAGGGCTGACCGGTGGGCAGGTGGCAGGCCGCCCTCGAGGCGGGTGTATGCTGCTGTGACAAACACCCCGGCCCCAGCAACGAAACGCTGCGGCCTGGGTGGGGAGCCCGCCCGCCCCCCTTCTTTGCAGACCTCCGCCCTGCATGGCCCCAGCGAGGCCCCCCGAAAGTGTCTGCCGAGCAAGGCGGCCCCAGCATACACAGGCCCAGCGGCAGTGTGCCGAGCAAGGCGGGCCCAGGGCGCTCTCCCCCCCCCGAGCGTGTGCACAGGCGGCCCCGCTGCGCCGGCTCCCGGGCAGGGCCGGGGCTCTGGGAACCCTTCCCCCTGCAGCCTCGGTGCGGCAATCAGAGCGTCCGTGGTGCGGCGGGCACAGTCCCCAGGCGGGGGTCGCGGCCTCCGGCCGACGCCATCTTAGCTCTGCTCTTCCCACCAGGGAGGCTGCGGACGCCGGGGCGCGGGCCTCCTCCCGGCCGGGCTGGGGGGCTGGCGGCCTGTGATGGGACCGCCGTGGGGCGCGTGTGTGCGCGTGCGTCCGTGTGTGTGCACGCGCCGTCCGGGGACTTGAACCCAGGGCCAGGGCGCTGTCCCTGAGCTCCTTTTGCTCCAGGCTGGCGCTCTACCACCGGAGCCGCGGCGCCACTTCCAGCCTTTCGGTGACTACTTGGAGACGGGAGCCGCAGGACCTTCCTGCCAGACTGGTTCTGCGCCCGGATCCTCAGATCGCAGCCTCCTGAGAAGCTGGGATCCCAGGAGCGAGGCCTGCCCGGTGCGCTCCCACGGTGACGGGGCTCGCCGCCCGCGCATGCGCGCCCCGGCCGTTCAGGTGCAACC